TCCATTATAGTTATTCATACTGATGGGATTTATTGTTACATGTTCTTACATGCACGTGATACACAATATAACAATATAAGTTGACCAGTATCATTTCTTAGTACTCCTTCTGCTCCCCATCCCTTGGTCCCTTTCCTCTTTGCATCTCTTTGATTTTCATGAGATCTGCCCTTATCTTTGTTTTTCTCTTTCTCTCTAGCTTCCACATATGACAGAAAACATAAGACCCTTAACTTTCTGAGTAACTTCTATAATGATTGTACTGGATGTTTTATTATATACACATAATTTATGTTTTATTATATACACATTCTATTGATGACTTTTCTTTTTTACCAGTTCTAATAAATTATAAAACATTTATCTTYCTTTTCATGCTTTTATATCCTTCCCTATTTATAAAATAATCTTCTTAGTTTCTATGGGTATATTTGGTACTATATTGACTTGTAATTTTGGTATCAATTGTTGAACTTATTTTAAAAAGCTCAAGAACAGAAGGAGGCCTGGGTTTGTAGCTCAGTGGTAGAGCACTTGCCTAGCATGTGTTTGGCACTGGGTTCGATTATCAGTACCACATATAAATAAGTAAAATAAAGGTCCTTGGACAACTAAAAAAAAAAAAAAAATATATATATATATATATATATATATATATATATATATATATAGAACAGAAGGAGTTTGTTACATAAGTTTATATTGTTGCTTAACTTGTTCTTTCTTTCTAGATGCCTTCCAGGGATCCTTCTTTCATCCTTTCTTCTCAGTTTAGAGAACTTCCTGTACTCATTCTTTTAAAGTAGGTCTGTTGGCCACACATTCTTTCAATTTTCCTTCACTTGAGGATATATTGTTTTCATCTTCATTCCTAAAGGGTATTTTTGCTGCATTGAGATTTTGGGTTGTCAGTGGTAGGGTGTTTTTTCTGGGGTCCTAAGCTCCCTCATCAGTCTGCCACTGTCTCTCCACTCTTTCTTATGTCCATCTTACTGTCCAGAGTTTTTATTTGTTCTTATTGGGATTAATAGGGAAAAGTGTGTTTATTCCATCTTTCTGGAAGTAGAAGCYGTTTTTCCACATTCTCCTCGTGCAGTGCTTTATGCAGGGACCCCTTGAGGAGCACTGACTAGATGTGTGAAGGAGCAGTGGAGCCTTAGTGGGACGTGGCCTCTCTGGATCTGTGCATTTATTCTGTTGACAAAGAGTGTGTAATAGGAATTTGGTCTTTCAAGATAGAAGGAGTTGGATTTGAGCTCTGGCCCTGCTACATTCTAATTGTGTTGCTTTTGGAACTGTTTAATTAACTTCTGAACAGTCAACTAATCAATAAAGTGGTGTTAATGATGATAGCTGGGCCGAAGGTCAGTGTAAAGATTGAGATAATTTTTGTAAAGGCTTTAGTACCTGGTACAGCGTGAACATGTAATGASATTAGTTGTTATTATTATCAGAGCCTATTGTTGAGTTCTTATTTAATTAAGATAATTGAATTCCTGCTTGGCCAGGACTTCTTGTATGTAAGAATTACCATTATTCTTTTACAGTTTATCTTGTTAGTTTTGTTGAGACAAAAAATCACCAAATCCTTGTTCTAACATATCTGATGAAATTTTTTTCTTAACAGATCTTGAGTTAATTTGTTTGAGTAGACCAGTGCTGAGAACATAAATCTGGCTTTCTTTCTATTAGTGTTCCTTCCAGGTTCCAAACACTCATTTGTTTAATGCTTTCTGGATTCCTTTTTTCTCCCAACTAGCTACAAATTCACCTTAGCTGAAAATCCAGTTTGTGAAATGTTTTGCTGAAGTTGTTTTTCTGGCCTAGACATTACAACTACTTATTAAATAGAGCTAATATAATACTGTTTTTTTTTCRGTACTGGGGATTGAACTCAGGGGCACTTGATAACCGAGCCATATCCCCAGCCCGATTTTGGATTTTATTTAGAGACAGGGTCTGAATGAGTTAGTGCCTCACCATAGCTGAGGCTGACTTTGAACTCTCAATCCTCCTGTCTCAGCCTCATGAGCCTAGGATTACAGGTGTGTGCCACCATGCCTGGATTCTAATACTGTATTCTTAAGTGAATGTTAGCTATTTTATGTTTTTTCCCCCAAGTATTTGTAGACTTTGTGGGGTATAAGGCTTAAATTCATGAGAAAAGAGTGTTAGGGCTGGCTGCAGACTTGGAGTTCAGTATATATAATATATTTATATATTTAAACTTATTTATTCTAATTTGTTATACATGACAGCAGAATGCATTTCAATTTATAGTATACATATAGAGCACGAATTTTCATGTTTCTGGTTGTGCAAAAAAGTAGAGTCATGCCATTTGTGTCTTCGTACATGTACTTAGGGTAATGAGGTCCATCTCATTCTACCATCTATCCTACCCTCATACCCCCTCTCTATCTCTCCTCCTCTTTGCCCTATCTAAAGTTCTTTCATTCCTCCCATGCTCCCCTCCCACCCCCATTATAGATCAGCATCCACATATCAGAGAAAACATTTGGTCTTTGGTTTTTTAGGATTGGCTTACTTCACTTAGGATGACATTCTTCAATTCCATCCATTTACCTGCAAATGCCATGATTTTATTCTCTTTTAATGCTGAGTAATATCCTATTGTGTATACATACCACAGTTTCTTTATTCATTTATCTATTGAAGGACATCTACCTTGGTTCCACAATTTAGCTATTGTGAATTGTGCTGCTATAAACATTGATGTGGCTGTGTCACTGTGTGCCTTTTCCCCCACATCCTCGTCAACACTTATTGTTGTTTGTATTCTGGAGTGAGATGGAATCTTAGAGTGGTTTTTATTTGCATTTCTTTAATTGCTAGAGATGTTGAACATTTTTTCATATATTTGTTGATTGATTGTATATCATCTTCTGAAAGGTGTTTGTTCAGTTCCTTGGCCCATTTATTGATCGGGTTATTTGTTTTTTTTTTTTTTTTTGGTGTTAAGATTTTTGAGTTCTTTATATATCCTATAGATTAGTGCTCTATCTGATGTGCTTGTGGTAAAAATTTGCTCCAAATATAGGTTCTCTTCTCACCTCACTGATTGTTTCTTTTGCTGAGAAGAAGCTTTTTAGTTTGAATCTATCCCATTTATTGATTCTTGGGAGTTTTTTAAAATATATGCAGAAATCTTAAAGAAGTGTACAGGGTCACATGCTACATACTTTCAAAGGATTTGAGCTCTGGTCACTTATTTTAGAACACCATGGAGCATTTATGACACCTACTGATTAACTATTTTTACATGGATTGTGCATTATTGATACTAAAATGCCATTTAGAAAGGTTTATATAAAATATAAATACCTTGTAAAGGGTCTTTTTAAACCTACAATGTCTTAATAGGAAAGTATTGTCGATTCTGAGATGGGAGTAGTGGAATCTGTTGCAGTTTCAGGAAATGCCAGTAGAGGGCACCAAGGGTTCATTAGTAGTACATGTAGGTTTTGTTTATGGTTTTTTTTTTTTTTTCTTTTTTCCCTGAGAATTGTCAATCATCCAAATTTTAGGCCATCATCTGGGCAGTGATTTGTGTCTGAGTTATTTACTGTTATATCTTCAGTGCCTACAACAGTTCATAACCTAAAGTAGTCTGTTAATAAATATTTGTTGAATTCATACCTATTATTGTTTTAATCTCTGTAATACTCTTTCTTGGGCATTTAAAAACTCAAGGATGATATAAAAATAATGACAAAAGTGTCATAATGTTCAATGTAGTGGACTGGTTYGAACCACTGGCTCAAAATTTTGCTGTTTAAATTTGATATTTTTAAAGTTCTGATATTTCCAAAATCATTTAGTCATTATTGACCAACTCTACACTTTTTATCTCTGGTTACTTAATAATTGGTGTCTGACTGGTCTTCCAGCAAAGTGTTATATAGTGTTTTCTTTTTCTCTGAATTCCCAGTTAAATTTCTAATAGCTATAAATTAGATTATGAAGAATCTTAGAGAAAAAAAATCAYAGAGAGATTTGCCAATATGGGGCACATTTCTTTTGGAGTGAAGAGTTCCTTTCCACCAAGACAAAGTTTTCTTATTATCCCCTGGGTCCTTAGAGTGGTTTTAGAGGACAGTTTAAGGATTTGAGCACAAGGGGATGATATAGAGGAATGGATTTCACCACTTCAAGAATTATGACTCTTGGGCTGGGGATGTGGCTCAAGTGGTAGCGTGCTCGCCTGGTATGCGTGCGACCCGGGTTCGATCCTCAGCACCACATACCAACAAAGATGTTGTGTCCGCCGAGAACTGAAAAATAAATATTAAAAATTCTCTCTCTCTCTCTCTCTCTCCCTCTCTCTCCCCTCTCTCACTCTCTCTTTAAAAAAAAAAAAAAAGAATTATGACTCTTTTGTTTCAATCTGTTTTTAGAAGAGCATTCTAAATTTTCATGTAGTTCACATTTTTGAATTTACTTTATGGATAACTAGATATTAGGAAGGCAGTAGAATGTTCTTTGTGTTGCTTATAGCAGCTTGATTAAAAACAAGTTGTGGGGCTGGGGTTATGGCTCAGAGGTAGAGTGCTTACCTAGCATGTATGAGGCACTAGTTTCGACTCTCATCACCACATAAAGTAAAATAAAGAATTGTGTTCGCCTATAACATTGTGTCCACCTATAACTAAAAAAAAAAAAAAAAAAAAAGAATTAAACAAACAAACAAAAAACCTAGTTGTGATATTCTTGAGCCCTGTGAACCCTCAGAAATATAAAGTGGCATAGTGGGAGCCACATTGTGGAAAGAAGGATTTTAATATTTAAAATTTCCTGCAAGATCCATTATGCTTGAAAGAGACTATCAGAGAAAGGTAATGGGCACCCTCTAATTACTGGGTCAACACCACTACCTTTTAACCTCTCCTTCCCAGCAGAAGTATGTTAGATGAATCTTTAGACATCTTGTCTCAGTTTTCATAGCATGGACTATGAAGTTATTTATTTAAATGGGTTAATTCTTACATACTTGATAATATTTCCCAAATATAGATTTTATATGTGCTGAGATAAAGTGGTTTTTGTATTTGGCTGATAGATTCAAACCCAACTTTTTATGAAATAAAAAGATCAAAACAATGGTAAACTTAAAACAGATTTTGGGGCTAAGATTTTTTTCTAAAAAACAAAATATTTGCTTCTTTCCTTGAATAACTTTTCTTTGGTGTCAAACATTTTTATCTGTTAGTGTACTGCATTGGAACAAAAGTTGAAAAAATTGACTGAGGATTTGAGTTGTCAGCGACAAAATGCAGAAAGTGCCAGGTGTTCTCTGGAACAGAAAATCAAGGAGAAAGAAAAGGAGCTTCAAGAGGTAAGGCAAATGGGTTCACGAAGAGTGTGTCTGAAAGGCTCTTGTGGAGTCTGTGTTCTTGAAAAGTTTGATTACTTGGAAAGAGAAGCAGTTTGTCATAATTTGGGAAATCATTAGAGGGAAATGCTTTGTAGACAACAGGTCACCTATTTCTCTCATGTTTCTGGTTTTGGTTGGAGAGAGAGGATTAGTAGTCCAGAGTTTTCTTTTTTATTCATGTTTTCTGAGGTGCTTGAGATACTGACTAGGAACAAGTTCTGTTGCTTCTTTCAAACACTTTATTTGCAGTGAAGGGGATTACATAAGGTTCTCCAGTCTGTTAGGCCTGTGGGATGGCAAATGAACTAGGAAGGTAGTTAATGCACAGGGAGAGAGGTCGGAGGAGTTAGGGCAGAAGGTGGGCTGGTAGGTATTGCTGCCAGTTTGGTCCTTTCAGGCGTTTTAGCTTGAGAATCTAGTCTTTTAGTAAGAGTGACTGGGAATGTTAGCTGGTATCCTATGGTTATCAGAGTTAATTGTGTCCTTTATTTTCTATCTTTTAAAATTTAAGAACATTATAAGTTGTATAACTTTGGTTTTTGATTATTTAACCCGTCTTGAGTGTTTGATTGCTTGGCTGAGTTGTGATCTTTGCAGTTCAGCTCTTCTCACCTGCCTGATTCACCCAAATAGAGATGGTTAATTTAAAATGAGGGATGAGGTGGGAATCTGCTGGGCTGGTTACCACATGGTCAACTTTTAGACTCCTTTGCCTTCCTTTCAGAGACCTGGATTTGATTGTGGGGTCCGCTGCTTAGGCTGACTGAACTTGTCAGTCAGTGGATGGTTGGTTTGGCTCCCTGTTGTCTTGTGCTCTTTCCATGTAGCATTAACTGATGGGATGTTTGTGCCTCATCTTGGAATCTCCCTTGTCAATCATTGTCAGTTTGATGCATGTATCCTTTGCTTTTCAGGAACTTTCCCGTCAGCATCGTTCTTTCCAAACCCTGGACCAAGAGTGCACTCAGATGAAAGCCAGGCTTACCCAAGAGTTACAGCAAGCCAAGAATACTCTCAATATCCTACAGGCTGAACTGGATAAAGTAGGACACAAACTTATTTCTCTCTTCCTCTTTTCCTTATGCATGTTACTTCTCCGCCACAGTTGACATAAGATGTCTTTATTTTGGGGAGAAGGGGTAACTGGGGATTGAACCCAGGGCACTCAACAACTGAGCCATTTCCCCATCCCTATTTTGTATTTTATTTAGAGACAGAGTCTCACTGAGTTGCTTAGCACCTTGCTTTTGCTGAGGTTGGCTTTGAACCTGTGATCCTCCTGCCTCAGCCTCCTGAGCCACTGGGATTACAGGTGTGCACCATTGCGTCTGGCAACATAAAATATTTTTAAAACCAGTATCTGAAAACATAAAAGTTGTACATATTATTGGGGTACTATGCATGTTTGATACATGTGTACATTGCATATTGTTTAAATCAAGGTAGACATCCTTGTCTCCTTTATCATTTCTATATGGTGAAAACTTGCAAAATYCTTTTAATTTTTTGAAATTATATAGTGCATTATTGTCATCWTAGTCACCCTACTGTGCAATAGCACATCAGTACTTCTTTGATCTTCTGTCACTTAGCACGCACTGATCAACCTCTCCCCGTTCTCCTTTCCCTTCCTCTGCTCTTCCCAGCCTCTGGTAACCACAGCTTTAATCTCAATTTGTGAGAGCAACTGGGTCATATTCCATGTGTGAGTGAAGATTCTTTTAAAGCAAAAATGTTCTATCTTCATTTTCTTTACTCATCAAAGTGGAGAGTGAACAGATCCTTTCTGATGTCCATTTTCTCATCCAGAGAAAGCAGGATGTAGAGTTAGGATTTCAGATCTGAAGGTCAGTAGAGGTTTCTGAGATTCTGCTTGTTCTGGATCATGTGAACAGATGGGAACTGTCCCAAGTAATTTATGCTCTCTGATAGCTAATGTACTGGAGAGTAAAATCAATTGTCTTATTTGAAACTCACTCCAAATGTGATCTCACCTAGGTTTATAACTTTATGTCCCTGGTTTGGAGGTCTCCTCTGAACTTTAGATTTGTAGTATGTGCTTGATGTTCCACCTGGCAGTTGACAGGCATCTCGTGCTTAATGTGTTCATAACAGAACTCAGCTAGTTTTTTTCTTTGTTTTTTTTTTTTTTAAACCTGCTTCTTTCTTAGTCTTCCCCATCCTAATAAAGAGCCATTCCTTTCTCCACATTGCTCAGGCATATTAGAAATTGAAATCCATGCCATCTTCAATTCTTTTTCTTTCACACCTGAACCATTTCTGTTAAAACTGCTGACTTGATTCTTCTTTGTGCGCTCTCTTGCTCTCTCTTTCTCTCTCTCTCTCATATACACACACACACACTTGTGTGCATATCTGTATATGTGGATTTATGTGTATATTTGTATGTGAATGATATAATAGTATATTTAAACTTTTGGTGTAAAAGATACAAAAGCTGCATAGAATGAATGTGAAACTCAATAAATTATTATATGAAATGATCTCTTATAAAGGTTACYTATGTCAGAAGCTAGTCTTATCAGCCACCCTACAAAACTTACATGTGTCTCTATCTCCCTTTTAAGCATAAGCCTGACTTTTTATGTCTATCTYTATACTGTATATTGAATATGACTACTTTCTGTCCCATCTGGTGCTGTAACCTGGCCTAGGTCATCATCCATCTCTGCAGATTCCATATCTGTGGACTTAAATATCAAAAATATAAAATATTTTTTTTTTTGTGGCACTGGTGTTTGAACCCAGTACACTTTACCACTGAATTATATCCCCAACCCTTTTTACTTTTAATTTCAAAAAAATTTGGAATCAGGTGCTCCCTAAGTTGTTGAGATTGGCCTTGAATTTATGATCCTCCTTCTTCAAGCTGCCCAAGTAGCTGAGATTAKAGATGTGTGTCACCATACCTGGCTCAAAAATATTCTTAGAAAACAAAATTCCAGAACATTTCAAACAGCAAAACATGAATTTGCTGTGCATCAAGTGCTATCCTGAATCCACACAAATGAGGTGGTGTGTAGATGCATCCTGCTGTAGCCTCTACCACATCACAAGTCCTGTTTGTGCAGCACTCATTATTTGAGGGTTGCTTGCCTTGCATATGTTTCACATACTATGTAGTTAATCCTGTGATGTACTGAACCATACATACTTTTATCCTTGTTATTCCTTGAATAATATAGTTTAACACCTATTTATGTACCATTTAGTTTGTATTAGGCACTATAAGCAATTGAAAGATAATTTAAAGTGTATGGGAGTATGTGCATAGGCAAATACTACCATGTTCTATGTGAGGGACTCACTGCTTCTGAGATTTTGGTACCCTTGCTAACACCAAAGGACAATGAGTGTATGGTATTCCAGTCCTTTTCTTATCTTTACTTTTTTCCTGTYTTCTCTGAGTTCTCCAAACTTTACCTCTTTTTTCCATATGTTGCTCACCAAATGATGTCAGAGGCTCTCATAACGGTGTTTTAATTTAGCATTTAGTTGTGACATATATTTGGTTTCCACCAGAATAGTTASCATCAATTCTTACGATCCTTGAAGTTTTTTTTAATGAGAATAATGGATGTTTTTTAATTATAAAAATTACATATTATAATGGTAAAGTAGACAAATAGTATTCTTCCAGAATTTTTCTACATATATGTGGGTACAATTCTGCTTTTTTTTTTT